CTGTAAAAAAATTGCGCGGTTAAATACAATCGAGGCAGCATTGCGATGCGTGACGAGCATTGTGACGCGTCATCTTTTGTACGTCATTATTATTCAATCTTCCTTAAAAAACTACCACTTTAGATACCGCGATATCTCTTTTTCATGAAATGTAATGTGCGCACGTATGTGTTTTTTTTTATTAATTACCGCGAGCCGCACATACGTTTGCTTTCTCTCGATTCAATGACGAAATTCGCAAGGATAAATTGTCCTGCGTCAAACAAATACGTATATTCCGTATACGTTACCGTAGTAGCATGGCCCATACATTATCCAGGACAGTTGTCATTGACACCAATGATTTAAGACTTTAAGACCATTCTCTCATGCAGACATTAAGGCAGTCTCGTATCTCTTTACCAGCATCCGCGAACGAATCAACACGCCTCTGAGCGACGGTATGTTGACAGAAGCGATTCAACATTAATCTTTATAATTATCCATTAAAATTCTACATGAAAAAGATATCGGTAAACATCAAAAAGATTGTCCACCAGGAAATATCGTTGTCAGGTAAAAATACATATTCCGTGAAATATTATTCAAGAATTTAAACATTTAATTCTCTCTCTCTCTCTCTCTCTCTCTCTCTCTCTCTCTCTCTCTCTCTCTCTCTCTCTCTCTCTCTCTCTTTCATTAGCTTTCTTCGACATTAAAAATTTTACTTCCTGTGCCCAAGAAACTTAAAGGTGATTTCATGCTTATTGCTGTTTGACGATTTTCTAACATCAATTCGAAATCTAAAGTAACATTTAGATATTTGACTGACTAAATACTGAGATTGTAGATTATTATATAAAAGTTTCCGTCGTGTTACCTAAATATCTTTATAACGTATAAAAAGCAGATAATTTACCTAGCTTACGCGCTTCTAATCTCTTTTTGCGCAATTAAATATTTATTATACAAAATTTAATTCAATATATTTTTACTCGGTACCGCAAATTTACGTAGAACGTATGTATGTATATTTCCGCACAAATCGCTTTGCAAACATTTCTTAACACATCTGTTAATCCATATGCAGATCAGACGACTTTTACCTGAGGAATTTAAGATTAAAAAATATATGTTTGCGTCGAAATGATTAAAACTTTTTGTTTCAGTATTAAATAATACGTACAAATTTATGAAAAGAAGAAGAAATTTATATGTATATAATGAGAATACGACGGTTATTAAAACATATTAATTGCTACAAAACGTTTACACCACGTCTCTGAACATGCGGTCTGGCATCCACGTTAAAAACGTCTCTCTCCGAGCGTACGAGGACCGAATGTAGATTCCATGGCGACCGGGTCAGCGATTGCAGCTGCCTCGCGATTTTTGCGTAATCGAGTATAATGCTGCTGACGCAATGGAGGCAGAGACCATTAAAAAAAAAGTTCCCGGCTAACGCGCGTACGTGCGCCGAAATCGGTTCCCCAACGAGTCCAACTGTATACAATAGTACTAGCAGAGCGAGCGAACGGCAAGGACACGTGAAAGTAATCGTCGATCTTCGCCGCGGGACCAAATCGGGTGGCGCGAGACGCGCGATAAGAAAAGAGAAAACAAAAAGGAAGGAATCGAAGGAGGATCAGGCGAATCAGATCGAACGGCGGGGCGAGGAGGAAGGCGAGAAGGAGGCAGGAGGTGGAACGGCGGACCAGATATACAGGGTCGTATACGCGCGAAGAAGTGGGTCGAGAGTTCACAGGCCGGATAATTAAATTCCTCGCCGAAGAAAGCGTTTTCCCTCTCGTTTAGCGAGTACCATCACCCTATCCCCTCCGTCTTCCCCTGTTATTCCTCCTGCTTCCCCCGAGGCGAGGAATGGGAGCCGGACGCATTGGCCGACACGGCTAGGCTGTACGTTGCTACACCGGCCGTAATGGACTTCCTCCTCCATTAGACGCCTACAAATCTCCCACCGTCGCGTCAGTGAATATTCAACAGACCGAGTTCCCTTTTAATTACGCTTCGGGCGTCGATTAGTTCGAACCGCGGTCACTCACGTTTGAGACCTCTAGGGCAATTTCACCACTGTCAAACGACTGTATTCCGTGACGTCGCTATAGAAATTAAGTTTGGACTGCTAATGCGGAAGATATAGACGCGTCAATTAATCCCAGCTGAAGCTGTGCATTTCTGTTCTCCACGCGTTAATTTCGAAATGTAATTCGCGTGAGTCGGCGAACGATCAAAAGGCATCTGGCGTATGAGATCATTATCGTTTAAAATCGCGGGAAGATATCGCGACGTGCTTTTCCTTTGAGCCGGGCAAGTGCTGTTTAATGCACCGGGGAATATTTTAACTTTATGCTACAACACGCACTGCCGCGTGTTGATGCGTGCGCGAGACGACGCTCACCACACGAAGAGGATCGATGATTACGTCGATCCGAACGCACGGAAGCTACATCGCGCGAATGATACAATGATGGCGTACCGCGCACTTTTCTTCCTGATGCCTGAGACTCTCCTTCTACGACCGAAAGTCGAAGGTTCTACCGGATGATTGTGCACTCCGTCGTTCGGTCTCGTCCTCATAAACAGCCTCAAATTATTTCTCCCTCTGTCGGTATCTCGATCTCGCGACTTTTCTTTAATTTTTTGCGTATTGTCGTCCATGTGGAAGATACTAAAATATATCGCGGCGCATCTGTCTTAATTAATTTCTCTCTTTTATTGCTGTACTAATTGCCTGTTAAAAATTAGCATGTGTTATGACAGATATAAGTATCATGAGATACCGAGCGGCCACGCTCTAGCGTCAGAGGATGTTTAATTTCCATATCAAATCCGCGTGCGTGCCAGAATTAATCAGACGTTTCTCGAGCAAACCGGTCCATTCATTCATTAACAAATCCACGCGGACTAATTATCCTTGACTAAAATATTCATTGGGAACGTATTAACTATTAACCCATTCTTTGATGCAATAAAAGTCAAGATTTGCGAAGAAAAGTAGATATGTCGAAGAACGAAACGTGACTATGTTGCGAGAAACCTAATGTGACCTCAATCGATTCTGTTTCTATGCTAAGTGAGACATATGTAGATTTTCACGAAACCTACGCAATGCTCCGCGAAATCGCTGCATGCAGAAATGCTAAAAGCTGCGCGAGGGTCAATGGATCTTCATCCTTTCCTTTGGCAGATGCGTCCGAGAGCTAGCTGAACCGAGAGTGACGTGATTGTCGGCCGCGTGACCTCAAGCACTCTTGAAATTGCTGCTAACTTTCTTCCAAGTGACCTATCCGATGTAGAAAAACTCATTGTGCTATTGTTATCGATTTTCTTAAACGGTCGTTATCTAAACAATCGATATTAGAAACTGATCGATTAAAAATTGCACACGTTATACGTAAACCATTTTAGTTTCTTATATTTTTAACAAAATTTTTTCACACGTTTAATCAGCACGATATTTTCGTGTAACTTCTTTGCTTCTAATTCTTCCAATTGCTTCTACACAATATTTATTTTAAAATAGAAACTTATAAATTTCGTTACTTCTTTAAGTTCTTAATTTTAATAGCTGTTAATGCATTTATTTTTTGCTGTAGCAATTTATATATTTATTTATATATTTATCAGGAAAATAATAATTTATAGTAGATATATTATATTCACTAAATATATAACGGATGTCATTTATCAAAGACTGAAATGATATTATATATATTTAATCTTAAATGTGTTAAAAATGCGGGTACAACATTCCGTTGATTCAAATGGATGTAAAAAGATTAATAGTGAAAACGGATCATTCGTCCTTTTACGTACTGTTGCAAGAACAAGCCAGTGAAAGATGCAAAAAAAGAAATATTTTATAGCATTTTGAAAAACGATTAACGGAAATGTCCAATGAGGAAATGGTTCGGTGCACATCCGGTGCTACGCACTGCGCGAACAAAGAAAACTCATTACGTAATATTTCCTTTAAGTTCAGCTCTTGTTACATAATGTACTCTCGTAGCTTCGTCGAATAAATAACGCGTGTTTATGAGCTGGAAGCAGGTTATTAGCATACGCTACCATAAAGTCGCAACTGTAATTAACGCATAAATAACTGTATCGATAATTAAAACTACCGTTTATATTATCATAACAATGCCCATATTTGGATTTACATGTAAAGAATTAATTTATATAATTAGAAAAATATTTAAGAACGGAAAAAATTTATATTATACGATGAATAACGCATGAATTATTTCACGCCCGTTAATTAATTCTTTTATAACTCACGAGAAGTGTTTGGAACGCGCTAGTTGTATACCTATCTTTACAAATACTGCAAATGAATACAGCTTGCGTCATTGAATATCGACCCCCCATCTAGCTTTCGAATATGTGGATGACATTAATTTAGTTGTATTATCTAACGAAGAAAAAATAGGCAACAATGATTCGTCAAGATGTAATTTTAAATAGACCGTCTTTCTTAACGAGCGTTTTATATTCCTGTCACGAAAAATGAATATAATGAAATGACGCACGTACAGAATTTTATTACAGCGGCTTGCAATATGTTGTAACGCGATGCTGCAACGAGCTGCAACAATGTTTACATAATAATTTTGCATCCTAAAAAAAATTAATAGATAAAAATGTACGTTCATCTTCTTTTTAAATGTAGACAAATCCTGATCAAATATATATTATTTTTACAGCACAAAATATTTTCAAATCAAAATTGGCTAATCATGATGATTTATGAAATAGTTTATGGAAAACTGCAGTTATTAGTATATAAAATATAAAGAAATTAACGAAATATAAAGAATAATTTTCAGAATAAAAATTAATTTTTGTGACGCGACTTGTAAGATATATTTGTATCACTTTTACTGGAGAGGCGGGTCACTGTGCCTGTCCATAATATTGCCGTATACGATAAGAAAAAAAAAAGAAATTATAAGGGATACACGCAATTGATCTCCGGCAGGTAGCCGAAGCAAAATTCTTTACGGGATTGCCGTTACGACAAAGGCACTCGACTAAAGGAGTCTAGGTCTAGGACGCAAGTAGGGACTATCGCCACGGTTTCGCAAGAGAAGACCATCCGAAATCTCGGAGCACATCGGCGATCCTCCGGCGAGGAGGACAGGTGGACGTACGGGGTCTATGGTGAGCAAAAGAGAGAAGCACGAGGTCGGGAGGAGAGGGAGAGAATCGTCTCACAACTGAATTACTCTCACTCGAGAGGCCCCCGTCTCTTCTTCGTGGGGGCCCCACGCATATCCCCCTGCTTCTCCCGGAGGTATAAATGACTCCGGTGTACCTTCCACGGAGTCACAGAACTGAGGCGGCATCGCAGAAGCCGACATGAATCCTCTGATCGTGGTAAGCACGCTTTTTTTTCTCATACTTTACGTTAAGAAGCGATATGTGCGAGGTGGAGAGGGGTGAGGGCTGAAAAAGGAAAAAGAAAGCGAGAGAAATGTGGTGTACGGGTATATGCGTGCGGATGGGAGAAATCGCGAAAGAAGAAGAGTATAGGGAGAGAGTTAAGTGATCGAGATCCTGTTCGGCAGAAAAAGCGAGTGCCGCTTTTTTTGAATTTTCACATTTCTGTTGCTACTTCTGATCTCATGCTTTCCCTTTCGTTCGCACCTCTTTGATTTCTCGCGTAAAATGCTCGTGACGTAGCGACGGTGACCAGAAATTAAAAACGCACGATTAGTGAAAATTACAAAATATTGTAATTTTTAATTAAATTTTTTCCATATTTGTTAGAGGAATTTCTAGCTGACTTTTTGCAATTATTCCATGTTGTGAGTAGTAAATATTCCACTTTTAAAGAGTACATACTCTTATATTTTTTAATAATTTATAATTTTTTAAATTGTGCGGCATGTAATAATAAACCAAGCACGGATGCACGATTTGATAAATAAATTTAATCTGGAAGAGTTCTTTAAAAAATCTCGGAAATAAAATCGTAAGCCGTACTTCGTAAATGTAAGTGAGAACCGTATAAACGGAATGTATACCATCTCAGAAAGAATTTGATTGTAGCTGCCATAGCTACGCATATAAGATTGTCGTCAAAGGATTAAAATAAATCCCCGTTCTACTGTAAAACTAATACAAGTATCTTCTTTCCATGTTACAGTGTATGGTTGTCGGTCTGGCTGGGTTCGCCCTGGCTGAGGCGCCTGTGTCCTCCGGCTACAGTTACAGCAGACCAAGCGGAGGCGGCGGCGGTTTTGGTGGCGGCTTTGGCGGCGGCGGCGGTTTCGGCGGCGGTGGCGGTTTCGGTGGCGGCGGCGGCGGTGGCTACACCCAAGTGTCCCCCGGCTTCCAGACCAACGAAGGCGCCTCCGTGGACAGCGCGCTGCTCGAGCAGATCCGCCAGATCCTCCTGAAGGAAGAACTGCAGTCCCAACAGTCTGGTGGATTCGGCGGCGGTGGCGGCGGCGGTGGTTACCCTAGTTCCAGCTACGGAGCACCATCCTCGCAATACGGTGCCCCGTCGCCGCAGTACGGCGTGCCCAGCTACCAAACCCGTGTTGTCGGCATTGATCTCGAGGGCATCAGACAGGCCATCCAAGTAGCCCAATTCAACCAGGTCTCCCAAGGCGGCGGTGGCGGTGGTTACCCCAGCGGACCCAGCAGCAGCTATGGAGCGCCCAGCAGACCGTCCGGTAGCTACGGTGCGCCGTTCTAAGGAATCACCTTGGTTTTGATGATGATGATGATGACGATGAGAGAAAGAGAGTGAGAGAATGAATGAGAGAATGAGAGAGTGAAGAGAGAGAGTGGATAATGGCACCGGCCGACGACAACGACTACTTTCCGAGACGCAAGCTGTAGAAAAACTTACGGAGAAGATCGGGTAATACTGGAAGAGGATCATGACTGTCTACGAATTGCCGGACCAGTTTCTCCCAGAAGTGACACATTCCTCGGGCTCGTAACTCGGAAGGTCGTCGATGCCAGGGTCAGATTGTCGCGCGGATCAACATTTGAAGATCGCCCGACCGGAGCTGGATCGTCGTGTGATCCGCGTTATCCGGCTTATCTCGCGGCTCCAAAGCATCTTCGCGTCCTTCGACCAACTAATGTCAATCGACTGGGTCAGTAAGGACAAAGCCAAGACGAAGACGCGCGCGAGAAGTGGAAATGGGGAGCAACGGGACGGCGCCTGGTCCGTTGGGGATCAAATAGTCGTCGCTTCAACGGGTCAGGGTCTCCCGGAATCCGCCGAAAGGGTAGCGCCGAGCGCACGCGGACCAGTATCCTTCCCTCGGGCCCCTTGACTTGTCAGGAATCCAACGGTCGTCGCTTTGACAAGTCCGGGGGTTCCGCGGGAGTGAACGTGGCCAGTTTTCTTTTTTTTTTCTTTGACCCTCTTTTCCCCTCATTTCCGGGAAAGACGGGGGGGTCGCTCGAGATGATCTTGGGCGGTCGGCGCGGTGCCGAAGTCTATCGTACCAAAATCGCATCAATCGTCGCGGTCGTGTCCGCGATCCGAAGAATCGAGGATCAGTGATAAAGTCAAGGAGGGCAGCCAGGCGTAGTCGTTGACGCAGACACACTTCACACTTCATCCCCGGCGATTGCGCTCGCACGCTCGTCGGGACACTCATATTACAAATAGGTAGGAAGGAGCGGGAGGAGTAGGAGGAGGAGGCCGACAAGCCGAAGACGTGATCGGCGCGGTATCAGCGCGCCTTGTAAATAAAATTCCGTCGCTGTACCGTGCGGCGTCCGCTGTTGTAACGCGGCCCCGCCACTTCCGCCGAAGGACTTCGACTCATCGAGATCTTGGTCCAGAAGCCAGTTTCCGGCTCGTGAGAGAAGACAACGGCTCTCGAACCGTGTCGTAACCCTGAGAAGACACGGATCGCAAGGATCAGGACATCCGGAGTCGTTACGCGCGAACAAAGTCGATTTCTCACAGGAAACGCCGACCTCTAACTGTCCATGAGAAGAGGGACGAGGGGGAAAAGAGGATTCACCTGACGGAAGGAGCGATCCGGATTACAAAGCGGACGCCGCCGTGTCCGAGCAACACGTACATACGACGCCACGAAATACACACTATTTTTTTATACATAACGCTCTACTCTTTAACCACGCATCTTTTTGTACTTGTATAAAGGCTTTTTTTTGTAGAAAAAAAGAATAAAAAAAGAACGTCGCCACCGTTGAAACCCCGTGTGCTTCTCCTCTTTGTCGCGCGCCGGAACGACTCGCTTCTGGCGTAATTCCGCTGCCCCTCTTCCCCCTGCTCTTTCCTCTGCTAATTTCACCTTTCCTCCGTCAACCGCGACTGACGATCGCGATTATCGCGATTCCCATCACGGGTTCTACGTCCCCCGTTCTATGACCCCACGACCGTCGCGTCGCCCGGAGGCACACTCGTCCCCGGGTCGACTCGTACAATTTTTTTTTCCGCGTCACCGTATCTCCCGAAGATATCCGATCGTTTCTCTTTCTCTTCGTCGACGTTTCGAGAGATCAGCGCCTTTCTCCTTTCACTCGCGAACCCGCGAGCCAGCGATATCGCATTATCCTCGCTCGTGGAGGGAGCTTCTGGGCATGTAAATTCTCGCCGAGCACGCAAAGAAGAACCGCTTCGCAAAAGGGCAACGTGTTACGAAAGAGAAAAAGAGAGCGAGAGGGAAGGAGAGAGAAAAGAGAGAGAAACAGCGAGAGAAGGATCTGGCCATCGCTAAAGATTCGAAAGTGGCTTTGCGTTCGAAACGAAATATATCCTCGGATTATCTGGGCAAAGGACGTCCGGAAAGAGGAGGGAGAAGAGAGATTTCGCTTTTTCTTTTTTTTTTCTTTCGTACGTTTGAGGGGTTTCCTGCCGTCACGATCACGAGACGCTCGCGCTTCTCTTTCCCGCTCGAGTAATGCCCGAGATTAACATCTGAGCTCCGAGTTTCTTGATTACAGTGATGTGACGTAAGTCGCTCGAGTAATGTGAACTTATCTTATTTCGGAGAGATTTTGCGCCGGGAAAGAATCTCTTTATACGAGAAGACGCGTATCTGCATGGCTGATGTGCACCTGGCTATTTTCTCTGGAATGCTAAGATCGAAAGCTGTCGTCAGCAAAGTGCATTCAGCAATAAAATCGGAGTCTTCAACAAAGTAGACGTTTCAGTATTGTCGCAATTTTAAATTCCGTTGATTTTGTCATTTTTAAATCGGGGACTGACATTTCTTTCATTCGTGACAAGCTACACTGTTAAATTCATGATGTCAAATTATACTTGATTTGAGTCATTTTTAACCATTCCTATAGGTCGCCTACTCAATATGTCGTTACTCGTTAATTTAACAAAAACAATTAATTAAACCAGTAAAGTTAAAATAATACTATTTTGTATCAAATAATATATTTCGACACATAATAATTACAAATAACAAAATGTTATTTAACCCTTAAATGCCACCCGGGGTCCAGCGGACCTCAGACCCTTTACAATGATATATTTTCAAATGTTCCCGCCAAAAATGGAGCTCATGCTCCCTTTGATGATAGTTGAGTGATTGACCTACCCGTTTGTACACTTAGCAGTACTCAATTCACTTAATTTTTTATACTATGTTGAAATTGAAATTTTAACAATATAAGCATTTTATTCTTTTTTCTAGACCTTGAACAACATTGAAAAAAATTTTCATAACAAAGATCAAAAAATCAATGTGTAAGGAGACATTTTTCATGCTGGAGTCTTTTAGACCCCTTATGTCATTTACGAGATTCTTCAGAGGTGTGGCATTTAAGGGTTAACTCAAAGTATTGATTTAAATTTCATTCTTTAATATTTAACAGTGTGGATCACGGTCAAGACAGGAAGCTGAGAAGACGGTCTGACATGTATTTTTATTAGTTAATCATTCTGGTCGAGGAGAGTCATTTATGGGCACAGCTATCTTGGAAACGCTTAATTAACATGTTTTGCAGGTAGCAGCCGCAGACATTTATGGCGGCATTCATCAGCGGCGGTTCTGTGCAATGCGACTCGCGCGCTTACGACGACAAATCATTACAATGATTACGGATTTTCTCTGTGAATAAGTAATGAGTAATTTTAAGTCCGGGGAGAGACAATAGACGCGTCGCGTCGCAGATTTACGATCGCACGTTCGTCGCCGAGCGGTTGTCCCGCACGGAAATGGCGGAAATACTTTGTATGAAAGTTAGTGAAATAAGTGGCGTGATATCGCGCAGACCGCGGGTAACCGAAGCACCCGCGAAATTAAGAGTTAATCGAGGTGCGGTTGGTCTTGGATTGTGCATGCCACCGCACGAAATTTAACTGCATTCGCGCACGTCTCCTCACATACAAAACGCATAATCGCGAGAAATGAGATGAAAAGATAGGTCCGGCTTCTTCTCGGCTTAAATGTATTTAAAAAATATATATCATTGATTATACGGAGATGAAGAATAAAAAGACAAAATTGAAAAGGACGAATATAGAGATTTGAAATGTCGCATTTTTTAGATAAAACGAACGTTTCTATTGGCGGAACCGTTATCGGCTGAATTACTTCCCTTTTTTTTGCGAATTAAGCATTTAATGTACAAATGATTCATGACCACGAACAGGTTTTTCTCCACGGATTCCTCGGCGTTTACCTGCAGGAGATGTTGCAATTTACGACCGCGCGCGCGTAAGAAAAATTTCATAAATTATAGATCCGATTACGTTACGTAACGGGAAAACGCTGATATTATGTTTAAACGCTGCGGGCTTGGAGCAGTTAGGTAAGAGAGTGAGTGCCAATAAAGTGAAACATTTATTGTCGATGATGCTGAGGAGTCTCGAATGACTTTATCGAGCTCATGTAACGTCGATGAATAAGAAGATACAACCAATCTTCTTCCCATTGCATAAACTATATCTCTATAAAGCGATTGTCAACAATCATTCTTCCTCTTGCTATTCTACACGATCGACACGATTATTTCCGCGTTGCTGAGCGTCTTCGAAGAAATCAATGACAAACGGTTGATTTGAAGACAACTGCGAGTTTATGGCGGAACAGAGGAGCAAGAAAGGTAAATGCCAAACGGGAAATGCATTTGAAATAATTTTCGTGTCATCAGAAGCTTACCTCTGATGAACATGAGAAGAGCCTTCGTAAAACACGTAGAAACTACTTGCCACATAAATTAGAAGTTTTAAGAAACGCTGCGGTCAGATACTTTATTATACTTATTAATTGATAAAACAACATTTAGAATTAACGTTGTGTCTTTACAAGAGATTAAAACCACGTACAGAAGCCAGATAAAAAATAGGAAGTGAATTAATACAACAAGAGCATAATTCAAAGACTCCCTATGTCTGCATTATGCAGTAATATTTTGAAGAACGTGCACTGTTAAATTTTCGAAGTGTCAAATTATATTCAATTTGAATTTTTAACCGTTCCTATAAATCGCCACTATCTCTACTCCAATATGTCGTTAACTTAACTAAACCAAAATGAAGTTAAAATAATAATTAAGTTTCGACACACATGGTAGTTAAAAACCAAATATTATTTAACTCAAGGCATTGATTTAAATATCATCCTTTAATATTTAACAGTATGGTACCGCAAGTTATGTTTCGCGTCGATTGTGAAAATCCTGAAAAGGCGGGATGAAAACACGCGTAAGACGGCGAAGAAGCGGACGATTTTGTAATTCCGGAGGCGATCCTCCCGCGTGCCTCTGCCGAAGGTATAATAACACGACTATTCGCGCGAAGAGAAGCGAAGCGTCGCGTCGTACACACAAAGTTGGCGAACCGGCACCACTTTCGTGATGGCAAGACGCGCGGAGACACGGTGATGACTCCACTGCAAAGTGCCTATTAAAAATGGTTCCGTGGGAGACGGAGGAAAGCGCGGTATCAGCCCAGGCTATCTGTCCCGAAAGACCTTACTGTACATGTGTTACCTGCGACGTGGACGTCGCAGGGAAAGTGCCGCGCGATTTCGCGGCGAAGGCAGAGGGTACGGTGAGATCGGGCAGAAGAGGAGAGATGGAGAGGCGCATGCACGCGGTGTGAGAGTCTCCGTGGAATTTTGCAAGAGATGCTCGTCCGCCGACGTGCGAAAGGAGAAAAATATGTGTGGCGCGACGATCTACGCTCCAGTTACACAAGCATACAAGCAGTTATACGATTCACCTCGATCGCGCGTCGTACAACGGTTACGATATCCTTCTAATCCTTCATTACGTATCCGCCTCCCGCTTTTTGTTTTTGCGATGACAAATCGAAGCGATTTATAGGAATTAATTGCGCTACTGCCGCAACAAAAACCAGACAAAAATGTATTACGAATTAAAAAAAAAAACGAACTCTATTTAATTTATAGCAATACGCATTATGTAATTCGGCGAATGTGATCTTTTAGAAACAAGTCAGAGGTTGGTAAAATAAATTAATTGTGAGAGCTGAATAATGCGGACAAATTAATACTAGAACTACCAAGACAGTCAAAATAATTGATTTGTAATATTTTATCAAATTTATGGCGGTACATTTTCTGAAATTTTCCGTCATATTTGGTGTAATATGCAAATGATTAAACTGATCATTGACTTTACCTTCTTCCTTCATCGATCCCTTTTTCTAAAGATGTATATAAAATATAGTATATTTAAAAAATAATTCTAGTATTTAAAAAATAACTTATATATATAAGTACATGTTAAATAATGTGCAAAGATTTTCTCTCGGGAATTTAGTCTAGATATAAATTAATGTTTCTAATATAAACCAGTAATTAAGTGTCTAGATGAGTAAAGCCTAACTACCGTTCAGTGTAAAGGAAGATAAGACTTGTTTTCCAAACAATGATAAGATACCTCTTTGGAATCTGCACTGTTAGTACTGATAAGGACTTTAGAAAAATGAAACATCTGTAATCGTCTGTTTATTTAACGTCATCTCTATAATGAATATTATCAAATATATTTTTATTGCAATAATATTATTATCGAATATATTTTAATTGCGGTGATACGCACTCGGAAATAAATTTAATTCAGCATTTGACGTTATTGAAGAGGGAGAGCCTTTCGAATCTAGCCAAGGGCGGAGTGTCGAGGGAGGAAGTGCGCGATGTACCAACAATGTCGTCATTTTCAGTTATGGGAAGCAGATTTGTCAAGTCGCGTAAAATATAATGAACCGGACGCATAATGGTGCTCCCCTACTTTCGCCGGTCTCTGTTTCTGTCACGGGACTTCTTGGCAGGTGTACAAGCGCGCATTGCTTAACAATAGGTCACCCCGGCGCGACGGCGGGCGCGTCGCGTCGGTCTGAGGAAAGAATCGCGAAAACACCTCCAACGTATTGCTCCCATCCCCTCCTTCTTTGTCTTCGTCCTCTTTTTTTTCGTAACACTGTGTGACGCAGAATTGCGTCGGATTGCGCGATCGTTATTGCGCGAACCTTAATTGGGCGCCGTATTTCGCGATAAATCAATCCAGCGTGTCGACGCGACGAGTTATTCCCGTCGACAGAGTGATTTCATTTTGCGCAGACTTCCCGACAAGATACGAAAGAGAGAAAGGGAGAGAGGCGGAATTCTCTCGCGGGGAATAATATTAAAAAATAATTGTAAAAGCTCATTTGAATAATTTAAGATTTATAAACTTTTTCATCATGTTCGATAATACTTGTTAGCTCCAACTTGCGAAGAATGACTACAAAATGATGCTTAGAGTCGACGAGCCGGCCCGTCGCCGCCGCTTCTCTTTCTCTCCCCGAAAGTCAGTAATAAAAGTCGCTAATGAAAGCTAATCTGAAAGACAATAGTCGAGCGATCATTACAAACATCGACTCTCAAAATCATGCTAATTACCCCTACGCCCACGTCCATCTCACGGTTCTATCGTGGCGATTCTTCTGCTCGAGCCGCGAGGAATCCCCGAAGGGAGTTTCGCAAGTACCCTTTTCTGCCGGGTGAGCGGAGCTAAGTGAAGAGTATACGGCGAATCGGCGCGCGTGTCCTGAATCGAGCTGACCGGACCGGACGGTTGAATCGTCAGCTGCGTCAGCAACGAGCGTTGCGATGTACGGTAAAATCGGACAAGAGACGCTTGCACAACCGCGATCGACGTTGCATCTCGTACGCCGTTGGCGATCGCTGTAAAAACGACCGTTGCCGTTATAACATTACCTCACGCAAGATCACCGGCGCTCTTTACGTTCGCAAATTCTTCGACCGATCTGAAGAATCGATCTTACGGTAACGCCGAGCGGACGTCGGTCGACTTTGGCATACTTTCATTGTATGTCTATGTATTATTTCTACCAATGTAGATTAACTTTAATCTCGGTTTAACTTATATGCCATCTTTTTCTCATTCGTAGAACTACATCGGTAGAAGTGTAGATAAAAATTTAAATTAAAAAGAGATAAAGAGTAAGTTAAATCGAGATTAAAGTTAATCTACATTTTCGCCAATGTAGATTTACTTTAATTTCGAGTTAATTTACTTTTTATCTATTTTTAATTCATAGAACTAGAAAAAGATAAAAAGTAAATTATAAACCGAAATCAAAGTTAATCTCATTGATAGAAATGGACATTAAAAATTCCATATATCTGTAACCATGCGATAAATAAATGCAAGTATTAAATAAATATAATCTCATTTGTTAGAAAAAAAATACACGTGACTTTCTAAACTAAAGCTACGGTCCACTTAACACTACAAGTGCTTCGAAGAATTCCTTTTTTCCTTTCTTTCAGTGAAGAAAGAAGGAGAAGAAGAACGTTTCAAAACATTTAGCATCAAATGGACTGCAGCCTAAATAGAATCAGTGAAGGATGTCCTCGCAATCCCCTAGGAAATCAGCAAAATATTATTATACATTCTAAATAAAATCAATCGGTTACATTTCAAAGTCGACAGGACGTATTAAACCGTCTCGCGGACAATAAAAATATATTTATACAATAATCCCGTTAAAAAGCTTTGCGGGGCGCTAAATAAAAAATTACGATTTCCGGTTTTTCTTATTATAAAAAATCTCAGGTGATATTGGTGATAACCGTGCGATCGAGACACGGTAACAAAAAAAAAAAAGAAAGAAAAGATAGAACAAGGAGGAAATGTAGTCAGACGTTGCGACGATTGTGCGAGCGTGATCGTGCGTTCGCGCAAGTCACGTTTAATAATGTTAACAAATCTTAACGTGTTGCTCGCGTACAGCAAAACACACGGTGTAATAGTCATTGATTGTGCCCCCCGGCAAGGCGCTTCTATCATCCCGAGAAAGCCGAGGAAGGGGAGAAAGTTGGGGAAAAATCACATGGAGCGTCTTCCCCGAGCTGCAACGTTCGTAAATCCGCGAAGAGGAAAGCCGTAGTGCCCGGCCGGCGGATCTTCCGCGGCGATTTATTTACGAGCTGGCCGTTGACCAGACGATTTACGATTCAAATGATCCGGGAAGGAATAATTGAAATGGAAATGAGCGGAAGCTACATACGACCTAGGCTACCGCTCGCCTACGGCTGTTCGAGCTATACCGCGGCGCATAAGTGCCTATAACTCGCCGAATAAGGATTGTGTAAGGCGCATATATCCTTTTAAACCGGTTGGTTAATCCTTTCGCGACTCACAAAACGGCGAGAAAAGTTCGCCGAATAATTTTTGAGTGCAGATGAGTGATTAAAGAAGGATTAAGGACAAAGCTTTCCTCGCAAGCTTGTTGAAAGTTGTTACGTCGAAAGTTGCTAATACACGTAACGCGCAGAAATTTTAATTTAGTTGAATTTTTAAGCCACATTTTTACTTAAAGCTAATAATGAGGCAAAATTATTAAATTAATCATTTTTCAAACTTCTTGCCATATCTGTATAAAATTATAAAAAATGTATATATAATATCTAATGTATATATTTTAGATTTTTTATTAACAAAAAATCATTGACTTGATAATATGTATAAACATCTAATTATTTGATATTTATTTTATTATATTTGTTAATTAATCAGTATATTGATAATAATTAATAAAATATTTACTAATAATTTAATGTTTAATTTTACATATACATTTTCTTTTATTAATAAAAAATGATAAAAATGTTAATACGGCTCAATGTGTGTGTGTGTGTGTGGCTTTCCACGATCATTTTCGATTATTTTTGTTCAGAAAATTGCAAATATAATTTTTTTATTAAAAAATAAAAAAACCAATATAAAACTCATTTTTTTATTTAAAAAAATAAATAAAAAATAAACCTTAATGTTAATATAACGCTATCTAGCTCCATCTATGATACAGAGTTGCAAATTTTAAAGTAATTTACCGATTCTAATGGCCTCTCTTGAGCCGACAGATAAACGGATGCATATACACAGTCGATAATAATCCATAAGTAAGAAATAATATTTTGATTATTAAGAACAACCTGCTACAAGAGTAATTGAATTCCAAAGATTCGAAATCATCGCGTATCTAATGGACAAATAATTGTACTCTTAGTAAATGTAGTAATCTCAGTAAATAAAGTGCAATTTAAATAACTTGTGTCTTTATGCTTGGATCATTAGGATATCATTATAATTAATCTAAAAAAAACGTGAAAAAGATACATATCTATAATATACATTGCTCGTTTTATACAGAAATCCACTCATAAATCCATTCTTGCGGTCTGACGTACAAAAAACCAATTATGCGTGAGATAAAAACTGGTTGTAAAGGTAAAAATAACATAATTTAATAGGTGTCTTCGTACATACATCATTTTCAACAACTTCGACTTGCACACAGCATATTCCACTCATACTTTCGTATATTTCTTTCCTGTCAGCCGAGCACTAGCTTCACCATCAGCGTCAAGATATTAAAGAATATCAGAGGAACTGAAAATTACCACGTTATGTATATTATAAAGAGATGACGAGGCGATGTAAAATAAGCATCTCCCACGATATTTACCCCTCATCACAGTTCGTATAGACTTAATAAGGTTCAAGATTTGCGACTTGGCTGTTGGAGGTTCCCCGAACCCCTGTACATTTTGCCATGACGCCCAACCGACTGTGAAATGAAAATGCGTTCGATATTAATTTCCCAATACATATTTCTCCATAATTACAAGCATAACAACTTTTCAATTGTTCAGAAAAAAAACATGAAAAGAAGAGAGCTTTAAATTTTGAAAATTATAACCTACAAATTTGTTCTCTTACATTCGAAGGATGTGCAATTAATTCGAGCTGATTGAAATAAGTACATATAATAAATGCGTGCTTAATTGTCACCTTTGGCAAGAAATCTTTCCTCGTTCAAAACGCAGATCGCATTCAAACACAACAGAGTTGCTTCGAAGAGTGTCCACAACGTGAACGCCATGTTGCTGGAATTGGCATATTTGTCACCGTACGTTCATACGTCACGTCAGCGATGCCAGTATTACCGACAATACCGACCACTTCTTCCAACAGATTTGTTCACTCGTACTGCACTTTTTTCGTTGTTTACAATTCATGAATTAATCGTGCAAAGATTTTATTAAAACATTGTAATAAAATATATTTAATTTGACAACATTAGGTATATTTAATTAAAAATGTTAGTTTAAATATATATCTTTTGATATGTTGTGACATGTTTCTATCTGATTTCATCTGATAAAAACAGGTCAACCTATAATAAAGGCCCGCCCTCCACCACCCCCGCCAATTCCAATCAGCGGTCCTCTTTTATTTACAATACGTTTTTTTATATTTATTTTTATTTAATTATATTAAAAACATAATATAATAAATATTAAAAACATAATAATAATAAATATAATTTTATTTGACTCTGTTGTCAATTTCTGCCACGTTACCTTGAAGCAACGAGTTAATTGATCGTAATGATTTTCCTGTTCTATTTATTACACTTAATTACTATTATACCATGCTATACTTTTGGCATATATTCAATTAAGAACGCGATTATTGATTAATTGTAATATCCAATTATAATATCAATTGTGCAGGAAGTTACTTTTTTTCGGATATCACGTCATTTATTCTGTAGATCTTACTTGATATATTTTCAAGATGCGTGCCGCATGAACAACATGCACAATCACGCATCTTTGTATTTTCGCGATCGGTTTCCGCGGTCGGATTTCGCGGTCAGTTTTTACATCAAGACATTTTCTCTTATTTTAATTTTTTAATTTTGTTTACATAAATTATAATTTTTCGCGGAGTATAATTGAGATTAATATTTATAATGCAAAGTAAAATTTTTCTCTATATTGAAACGAAGTATAAACTTATATGTATACACTTATTATTATTCAATCAGTTTTCTCATTTAAATGTACATTACTCACATTATTATTACTGATATTATTATTTAAAGTGCCCATGAACCAAATTACATCCCCCTAAACAATACATTTTATTAATAAAATATATTGTTTGAGGGGATGTAATTGGTTCATGGGCAATTTTAATAATAATATCAGTAATGTGAGTAATGTACATTTAAATATAAATGAGAGAAAATTGATTGAATAATAATAAGTGTATTGTATAAGTTTACACTTCGTTTATATTAATTCATATATATTACTGTAAAGTTGAATGTATAATTGTGCTATGTGATCAATTCTAAAATAATTTAAAAATAAGTTTCAGCGTTTCGCAAAAATATTTCAAATCTCACGTCATATATTACTTGACTGGCATAAAGCCAATTTTTCAATCAAAAACAGATGGACAGGCTACAAAAAATTAGGGTAAAATCGATGCTTTTTGTTAAAATAAATTTTAGTAATAACCATTATCACATTTTTTATAAAATAAATTGCATACTAATAAGACCAAAATATTTCTTATCCCTCTTATTTATGATTATATTCATGCATATTGACATTTTCTAAATATATCTATATATATTATTTCATTGCATCGATTTATAAAATATTTAATCTTGGATAAATATGTATTAAAAGAATAGATGGATATATAAATAACAGACATCCTAACTAATTAATAATTTTTCCCTATCTACAGATATTATTCTTTTTACGACACCTAACACAATATCTTATTTATTCTCGTTATATCTCTTTTATTCAGAAAAATAATATCATAAAAATAATTCTCTAGAAAAAATCTAAATAAAAATTTTATATTTAAAAAATCACTACTAAATTAATTGTGATAGTAGTATTGTTATACTTTTTATTTCTCTGTGTTGAAATATACCTATATCATAGCAGAACTGACCAACGTAACAAAATTTCGAAAATTTAATCTATTCTGTATCTTATACTAATTTAAATTCGCGAAATAAAATTTTAATATATTTGGTAAAATACTTTGTCATATATTCAAAATTTAAAATTTTCTTCAACATTTATTTATGTAGAACGCGGCAGTTCGTCAATAAATTAGATAAACTATTATATTTTATGAGCTCTTATGCGAGCTCCGTGCGTGCGAAGTGTGCGAGTATTTCCTCAAGCATAATCGCTTAATACATCAATAAATAAGTGACACCAAGACTAAATATTTTCCGTAATCAGTTTTAGCCTCTCCATTTTAAGGCAACAAATCTACAAGATGTAATATTTTTACAATATAATTTATTGTCGTAATTCGACATGTTCCGAGATATATAATGGCTCTATATTTGATTAATCGCAGATTCGTTACCTCATTAAAAAAAAAATTTTGACTCACCGATCCGATGCGCAACGGGCGGAGTTACTCAGCCACGTAGCTACGATGATACTGTAACACACAAAAATAAGATTTAAATTAAAAAAGCGCTCAAAATGATCAACATTTCAAAAGATAAATTTTTATTCACTTCTGATTCGTCTTTCAATGAGATAACAATACGTTTTTCAATTTAATAATACAATTATCTATTTTCCGAAAAAGATCTTTACAAAAATAAATTATTTTTATTTTTAAAAATTTGAATAATTTATCGTGCTCTAATTATTTTCAACTTATCGAGATCAAACAATCTGAATAAATGAAAAAGATATATTATGCAGATGATACTCACCCCAAGGTTGCTCCGCCGGTGCCCGATGTCGCTCTCGGACCTCCTCCTCCTCTCAGGGCGTCAGGCCTCCTCCTCCTCCTCCTCCTTTCCTACCGCACAGGACACTCGCGAGAAACACTCGCGGATAATAAATTACAATCGCGCGCGGACTAATTATCAGTATATAAAAGTTTTTCTCGCGCGATACTGTACGGCACTCCCGTTTAGAAAAGTTCTTCAGTCCGATTACTCAAACGGCACTCCCGAAACAAACGCGACGAACCGGCGCTGCGGTTCGTTTATTTAATTAAATCGGCGGACGAGGGTACATTGGCTTCCCCGTCTTTGGATTTTTATCCAAGCGGAACAAGAGTTTTGCTTACGCGACGCGAAATAACGAAATTACGAAGCACTCCACGAACGGACGCGATGTATCACGGCGCCGGCGTTCCGTTACTTTTGACTCACTCGATATACGCGACAATATCACTCAGCCCTCTTTTTCCCGCACGGAGAGAATCGGAGATAAGTCCGGCACAGCATTCGAAGCATGGCACGAGAGAAATAGACGCTACGCATTCGAGTCCAGAAATATGTCGGGAGGAGCGAGCGTCGCGAGATTACCGCCCGCGAATATCACGACGAAAGCAAATCGTTCACAATCGCCGTGCATGGATACCTTCGCCTCGACACGTCCTCCGTTTCGATGTCTCGAGCGAGCGATTCGTACGACACGTTCATTATTCCGACACAAACACTTGAAACACTTGCAAATTGTTAAGCCGTACGACGCGTACTCGCGAGTCTCCGATTTTATTCTCGCGGCCCGCGGAACGAGGAGCAGGAGTGCCAATCGTAGAAAACGAGCGCGTTCCGAATAACACAGCGTGAAGCACGGCGACAAACGCGCGATGCACGGACACTTTCTACCTGTGCGACATTCATCAGAAGAATGCGAGCTGAGTGATTTCCACAGGTAATGGTACTCCGAGCGTTGATGAAAAACAAGCTGCAAGGCCGCTCGTAGACAAGAACGATCGGCCGCGCGTCGAGCGTCGACCCTTGAAGGTACGATGTATTCAAAAGAAACTGTTTAGTGCGCCGACTGGTGCGCGGCGCGCGCCGGCGGCGGCGGCGGCGGCTCGAAGCGGCCGAACGTGATTGGCCGGATTCGGGGGCTCGACTCGCGAGCCAATCGCGTTCAAGGGCCGCGCGGCGGCTCGCCGGCAACGGTGCGCTGGTAATACGTGACAAAAAAAATAATTATTGAATTATTAGAGTTTTTCATTTTTGTTATTAAACATAATATCGAATAATTCTCTGGTTATAGATATACCATTGATTAATATACAATTAAACAATTAAAATTATGAGCACGGTCAGTACTTGGATAGATGACCGCTTGGAAACACCGTGTAATGTTACCACTTTTTTTTTCATTTTTATTATTGTATTTATATTATTACTACATATAGCAGTAAACACCATATTTGATTTCTCAGTAAATAAATTTTACAGTGGTTTCTACTTGTTATTTCCTATCTTCGATGATCACATAATTGAATGTCTCTACATTAATTCAACAAATTAATCTAATAAACTAATGTAAAGGTAAGAAAGTGTGACGCGTGACGAGAATGTACGTTAAAATATTTTTATTTTTTTCCTACGTTTATCATACATAAGATTCGGGAAATTCGAACGTGACGTCCCGTCCAGTCAGCTGCTTGTACACCGAAGCAAAGGTGTCGACCTGTAGGAAGATATTATCAAGATGTATAAAAATTTGTTATCAAGCGACACAATTTGATGCTTCGTACGAGATAAAGGAGAATAAATGGATTATACCTTGTGCTCAATGTTCGTTTGCTCGTTTTTATCGAGATGAACCTTGATAAGCTGGGACCCGTCGAGCTTGACTCTGATACGCTTGCCAACGATTTCAACGGGATACACCAAATCCTCCAATATCGCGTCGTAAACCGAAGTCAACGTACGGCTGAAAGAAACATTGACAATTCCATTAATGGTATGTAAATACAATCATTCTGTTCGTCTAATTCCACCAGAAGTATTTACGTTCTAGTTTCTCTCTTTTTTTTGTACTCTCTTACCTTCGAGGACGTTTTTGCTTGTTCTTGGTTCGCGTTTTCCTCGTTGGCTTGGGCAAGATTTTACGCTCGCCGACAAACATCACGTGCTTCCCAGAGAACTTCTTCTCCAGCTCGCGTACCAGCCGTGTCTGAATTTTCTGGAATGCCTTCAGCTTTGGCATGGGTACGTATATGATGATTGACTGTAAGAAAATAGAAACTCTGCCTCAATAGTTTTCTCGACAACATGACAAAGTATCTTCAGTAAAATCATTTCAATCTCTGCGTG